GTCTGTTCAGGTCTTTTGCCTGATTTTTTAATCAGTTTTTTCCTTTTCTTATTTTTGAGTTTTAAGAATTCTTTGTGTATTCTGGATAGCAGTCCTTTCCAGATATACCTTTTGAAAATATTTTCTTCCAGTCTGCATCATAGTGTTTTAAATGTAATGATCAACTTTGAGGGGGTGAGTTTTTATGGAAACCAAAAACATTCTGAAAGAATTCTAAGGTGTAAAGTCTGGAACCATTCTTGAAAATACACTGAAAATTATCTATCTTAGGTTCATGCACTATTTCACTTAACTACTAAAGTATGGTAGAATTAACTGGAATCCCTACAGAATCCCCTTATTTCATGAAGAGGCTAGGAATCTAGTCAAGGTTTTTGCCACACCTGAACATCATGAAGAGAACCAGTTGCAACTCATGGTTTCCATTAAAATGCAAACCAGGCTTAGATGGCACAAGAACCTGCTAAATGTTTCTTACTAGAACAAAGGAGGGGTATTATCTCTTGTCCCAAATGAAGCTTGGACCAAAGCCTTCTCATAAGTAGAAATATCCCTTATCACAGTACATTATTAGAATGTGTTGCCTCTGAGAAAAATTACTTCTCACTAGGAAGATGAAATCAACTTTGGGCTGAGCTTCCAGAGAATCTCCTAAAGCCACTACATTGCAGAACTGAGCTTCTGGCCCTGCCACAATCAGGAAACCTTGGAATCAGGAATCAGATGCTGCAGTTGCTGGCTCCAGACCCAGGCCACCTATGCCTCCATCCACAGCAACAAAAGGAAGGAGCTACGTCCTGCTTCTCAACACCCATGAAGGTAGAGACCTAGCACTGAGGATCCTGCCACAACAGGTGCAAGAAAACCAACTCTGCTTGCCAGCAGAAACAGCAGAGGCAACAGAAGTCAGCCTCTGCTTCAGAGTGTTCCACCTCCACCTTCCAAAACTCAAGCTGTCCTAAATGACTGGTGGGACCTAAATCACATCTAAAACCAGAGCTTCAACGGAACCTAAAAAACGTAGTTTTGAGAGTTCCAGCATGAGTAATTCAGGAAGGCATAACAGGAGAAGGGTAGAAAATATACTGAGTGAGGAAACAGTGTCTCAGCCATTCAGTGACCATCAGAGGAAAGCTGGGCGTGATTCTAGGAGAACTCCAAGAGCAGAGTCTGTGGACACAAAAAGCCGGACGGAGTCTGGGAGCAACCACCAAGGTGACTGATTCCGTCAGCATCACAGAAGTAGGCAGGCTGCCCAAACTTTCCACCTTGAGGGGAGAACAGAGACAGATTGGAGCACTGGGTGTAAATGTTGGGCCAGAAACTATGCTTAGGAGAAACAGAAAATTCCACTTCATCAGAGAAGCTACTAGTACGTCTTTCATGGCAGCACAATACCCTCTCTTCTAAAATCACCGGAGTTTACCTCTAGTACACATACTGCCTTCATATATAGGTTAACAGAACCTCAACTAAAAAGATGAACATGTAGCCAGGAATTAAATATTTGCAGTAAATAAACACCATGAAAGAGAAACACACAGCCAAGAAACCAAGGAAACTTCACCTAACAAATTAAGATTTACACAAAGAACAAATGGAAATTTTGAAAATAGTATAATTAAACACCTCACAGGGATGGGACTAGATAGGGCATCCATGAAAAAAAAATTATTATTTAAAGAAAAGCAATATTAGAAAGTAATATGTGAAAATAGTATAATTAAACACCTCACAGGGATGGGACTAGATAGGGCATCCATGAAAAAAACATTATTATTTAAAGAAAAGCAATATTAGAAAGTAATATGCTTGGGCCGGCCCGGTGGCGCACTGGATAAGTGCGCCGCTTGGGAAGCGCGGCGGCGCTCCCGCCCGAGGGTTCGGATCCCACATAC